AACAATTCTCTCTTCTACTAGTTTTTTAAGACTTCCCGTCTACGTTGAATGTGAGGGAGGAGTTGACGCCCTGGGGCGTGGGGGGGTCTGTGCTAGGTCCTGGGCAGGTGCTTCATTTCAGGGACGGCCACCAGGTCTTCAAGGGAACCGCTTTGGATTTCAGGGAGGTCGCACCTGGAATGCACTCAGGCTTGTTCATTACAGAATGAGGAGCAGCAGAGTGGCCGGGAGGTAACGTCCACGGGAGCATTGAAGGAACCCCGTGACATTGGACAGGGAAAATCTGGACTGGGCACCACGAGAGTAGGGTGACTAGGAGACACCAGAGTGTTCTGCCGAGAGTCCTTCTGGAAATTAGACCTAAGGTTACAAAGACCAGAGCTGGAAACCAGATATGGATGCATATGCTTTAAAAACAAAAACGATGAGGACTTAGGACATATGTGAGTTCCAGATTGAGCAGCAGATGTTGTGAGGGAACTCCTCCTATGGTCCTCAGCAGTGTCTCAGGGCCTCCTCGGCCTCGGAGGCAGAGCGACAGGGAGGAGGACAAGCAACAGACTGGCCCAGGCATTGGTTCACGTGGTGGTCATCCAATCCTCCTTCTGTAGGCCTCTCAGGGCCTTGGCCACTGTCACAGCGACAGCAGCCAGAGCTCTGCTACCATGCCCAGTGGGACAGGCGACGTCTGTGATGGATCAAGCAGGAACATTCTCCAGGACTGAGGCTCTGACAGCCCTCAGAGCTGAGGCTCCCCAGGAAGAGAATGCAGGGGGCTTGGAGCAGCACGTGGGAGCAGGCACTTGGGAGACACTGGGCACAGCCTTGATACTACCCTAGTTTTTTTTTTCCCCCCAGGACATCTTGGAAGAAGTTTAGTGTCTTTCTTTACTTGTACTTTAGGGACAAAACTGCAAATAATGGCGTCTGAGGACATTTATTTTAAAACTTGACTATTTAACATCTCATAGCTCCGAATACAAAGTTTAGAAAAAACTTCCTGAGTAGAGGAGAAAGGGACATAGAAGGTAACTTGGGTTGAAGGCCCTGATTCCAGTGAGGACTGATGAAATCTTGGATGGAGTTCTTCTCTTATTTTAGTTTTCAAGCAGGAAGTGGGTAGCGGGATGGGAAGGGGTGAGGGAGGTAAGTCTTGTTTAGGGGCAGCCCTGACTCCAGCCTTCTGCATCTCCATGGCAGACACCACGGGTTTTGAGGAGAGAAGGAATCCAGGAAACCCCAAGACTGTTCAAATGTCAGTTCTTCAGTCTTTCTGTAGCTTTGGCATTCTTGATTTTCCACTCATTAAAATCATTCATTCTTTCAAACAATTTGTATTAAAATAATATTATACACTGCTCTGGGCAAAGGAGACTCAACAACAAAGAAGTCGTCATTCCTGTCCTCAGGCTGACAATGTGGGGTCGAGAGAGAAGCAGTTAGGTGACCATGAGATCACTAACGTTGCTGTAATTCACATATGTGGGAGTCCTCAGGCCTGACGTCAGAGTTTTGGGGTGGCCCAGCAGTGACTCAAGTGAGTGGTGAATCCAGACGTTGTCACCCGGCATTTCTAGGGAAGGGGAATGGGACGAGCAAGGTGCAGAACCTGTACCTGTCGAGGGCTAGTAAACCAGGGGCGGAGACTAAAAGGAGCTTGGAGACCTGAGACGTATTGAAGGGGCCACCAGGGGGAGAGTTAATTCTGGGGTTGACGGAGAATGGGGCTGAGGGAGCTCTGGGGGCACCCAAGATCTCAGATCTCAGGGACAGAATAAAGTGTTCACTCAGAGCATTTCCTGCTTGCAAACATAAATCACCCAGCCTCAGCTCTGGGTGCTGCTGTTACTTCAGGGAGACTCGAATCCCTCCATACTGCTCCTAAGAGTCGTTTTAAGGTAGAAAGTTCTGAGGAAAGACAGCACTATTTATACAGAGGCACACTGACCTGAAATGTCAAGGTAAGATCACAGATGATAAGAGATCTATAAATGCTGCAGTGACATGACTTACAGATCAATGGACATTGAAATGATGTTGTGTCGATATCTTGGTGCCTGTAGTATTACTTCTGAGAGAGCCAGGGAAGAGACATACCCAAATGGGCCTGATATGGCTAAGAGATTAGCCCCCCAATGAATGACAGAAATGGAGGTGATTATAACAAAGTCAGTATGGTGATAATTATGAACACAGGACATCAGGTGGACCAAAGTTGTGGTAAGTGCAGTTCCATAAGCTCTATAGTGCTTTCCTGTTGCATTTAGTAGAATAGTAGATAAATATTTCATCCTGAACCAATATATTAAAAATGTGTAAAAAAAGATAGCCATTTAAATTTCAAAGATATATTAAAATGACAAATTTTAATGAACCATTATATTCAATGTGTCTGTCTGATTATTCTGATATAGGAAAGACTGTAGGTATGACCATTTTATTTTATTTTGAAAGAGTTCAGTGGATAACTGAAGCTCTTTCAAGACACTTGGGGGTAAAAGTGGAGATTTCACTGAGACTTGGGGATTGAGAAAGGGAGAGAGGTAGGAGACAGGAACAAATCAACTTTCAAATGAACAATGCTGCTGAGTGCCACCCTTGGAATCTTCAATCTATCCCTGACTCGCTGAGCTCTTACCTTTGGTGTGAAACCAAGCACACAGTTAGATGTCCCTTTTGCATCCACCAAAACAATGATATCCAATTCTCAAAAATTTGCCCATGACAGATGCCTTTAATGAGTTTAGAGACCCTTTGTGTATCCACCCAATACCCCAGAATGAGAATCCAACTGAATATAGAAACCCCTTCATCTAAATCTGCTCTTTTGCAAGGAAAATCAGAAGTTGTCCCCAAGAGTCCCACTGGAAGTGAGGTCCAGGAGAGAGCACGTGGTCTTGTTCTGCACTAAGCGTCTAGACCTGTACCATGTAAACCCTTGTTGAATGAATGAACTCGGGGGTTGGTCTAGGAGTCTCCTGACAGGGACTGAACAATCTGTTTCTCTATAACTACTGAGAACTCGGTTATCTGGGTCAACTTTAGGTGGCGAGCCCTAACAGACGTGACTTCTGGATTCCCCTGACTGTACCCGTGTCTCAAATCCAAACTGTTGGTTGATTCTGGTCTCATTTATACACATTTCTGAGTGGATTCATCAACAGCAGGGATTTGGTGGCATCTTGGAGCTTACACCTCACTGAAAGGGCTCTGCTAAGTCCCTACGCCTGGTTCTAGAGATTCCTGGTAGATGATGACATGTTGCAGGCTTTAATGGGCAAACCAAAGGCTGAGATCTGTTTCTTTCCTTGCCCATGTGGAGTTGTAAACCTGACCCATAAATCTCTGTCATGTCCATCCTGAGATACTATTTTTAAGGCCATGAGGCAAACTTACCATCCATTTTACCACCCATGGCAAATTATTTTCCAGAAATCAAGACTATCCACCCTTTTTCCTTCTCTGTGTCATAATTGCATCTTAGCTCAACATTTTTCATGTCCTTGGACTGGTTCTATCCAAGAGCTTGCTCAGACTTTGAATGGTGTGCCGCGGTGAATCAGTAGTTCCCACAGCACTAGCAATTTCTAAAAGACATCTTTTCATAGCCTGATGAGCTGAGCAGTGAATCCAAATTTATTGGAGCTGCCTGACTTCAGCTCCTTCTTGGGGCTCCTTTTGGTCTTAGAGAAACAAAGGCCTATGAACATAGGAGAGGGAACTAACTTCTATTTTGCTATTTCCTTAGGGCCTTAAAAAGAAGTTTAAAATTTACCTCTTTCATATACTATCAGATACGCCAATTTCCCTGTTGTATTTTGCCCTAAACCAGCTTCTCTTAATATTTACTTTATTAGCTCAGAGTTTATAATATGTCTATGGATTTCTGAATTTTCCTGATAAACATTCTGGCCTGAATGTTGGCTGACTCTTCCCCAGGTGCACCGCCATCCCCAAAATGAGTTGGTGCCGTTAGTGCACCTCAAGAACCGTGATTCCAGTGCCTGGTGCCGCTGAGTGCCACATTCTGGGTGGAAACTCTGGAAGAACAACTCCTTAAAGGCTCGTGTGGTTTGGAGTCTTAGTGTTATGACATTTAAAAAGCAAAATCAGTGGGGGTGACGGCCAGCGTCTCATTAGGGGATTCTTCTTCCTGCTGAAGAGGGTGTAAGCTACCTGAAAATTTAAGAGTCTAAAGTAGTTAGTGAAGAACAAAATACAAAGAGCCAGACGTACAAGAGCTGGAACTAGACAAAGGAAAGATGGCTTCAGTGGTTTATTTGAGGGGGTACATTGAAGGCAGGGGTAAGGATTCAAGGGCAGAGTCTTGCTTCCTGATGTCTTGCAGTCAGCAGGTTGATGGGCATCTTGGCAGGTCACACCCATCTCAGATGCTGCGCGGAACATGGCAGAGCAGGATAGAAATTCACAATGTCCCTGGGAAGTTGACCAGAGGAGATGTCCATGGTCACTCTCAGACACCAGAAGTTTCTATCCACTAGGCTTCGACGTGTGGTGACACACAAGTAACCCATGGACGGCTCGTGACCCAAAATAGTGAGGACTTAAAGAATTACATTTGCTAAAATTCTTGAGCCCATTGTAGAGTGACTCAGGAAACCGTGGAGTTCAGGAGCCTGTTTTCCTCAGTTAACCTATCTGGGTTCATGCTGTAGCTGCTATGAAACCGTGGGCCACCACTCCATGTTGCCCCCATTGTGATATGGGAGAAGGGTAGTGTAGACCCCAAAAGATCAGAGTGAGGGTTCAATTATTTACTCTATGTCAGGCCTCTGTGCACAGTAGGTAGTGAACAAATCTTGGAGATTACGAATATACCCAATCTCTGTCCCCTTGCAATGATCTCATTTTTACCTTTCTTTTTTCCCTACGTTTCTCTTGGGGTATCCTTTGCAATCCTCTCCCCTTTTCTCTCCTTGCAGCCATCGTCTATCCAGTTGTCAGAGTCCCTTCCACCTCATCAACACTCAGCTCTTGTCCACAGAAATGAAGTGAACGTCCCCTACCAGAGCCATTTACCCACCCCACCTTTTTCCTGACCCACTAGGCAAGCTCCTCAGCCTCCCTGGGACGGCAGGAAGTGTGGTCTGCTAATCCCAGTCCTGTGCAGCGCTGACCCAGGAGGTAAGCAGAGGAGAGCAGCAGAACATGCCCAGGAGGGGCCAAGTCCACACAGAGGTGGAAAGGAGGAGCCCTAGTCCTTAGTCAGACATGAGTGATGCTGAGCACCAACAAGAACATGCCTAGGGGACAGCTGAGGGGCAGCCAGGGGACTTCTGGGGAAGACTTGAGCTCAGGGGCTCAGACCACTGGCAGGAGGTGGGGAGACACTTCAGACGAGACTCCTGAAGGTCTAGAAGGTTTCCTCTAAATCTTCTCATCTAAACCACACTTTGCAGGCCAACCTCAGCCTCAGCCCCCGTGTGCCGAGGCTCACTTTTCTAGCTCTGGATCTGGTGCCAGTGGAAAAGACGGGCCCCTGGGGCTGGGCCCACAGCACAAGACTGAGGTGGGCATGGGAGTGGCACCGGGGTAGGCACTCTGGGGCGATACGGGGATCCGCACGGCTGCTGCTTTGGCTGGCAGGGCATCTCAGCAAGAGGGTCCTGGAGAGATTCAAACAGGCTTGGTATATACACCCGCGGCCCAGCTTCTGGTCAGCGTCTCTTCTCTGATGGTTTCATGTTCTAATTCTGCACTCGGAAAGGAAGGCCGATGTGGAGTTGATTCATGGGAAGGAGATGCTTTTTCTCTTGAGCACCCAAGGCATCTTATCTCCATGAGATCACAGAGATCAAACCTAGAGCTCTCTTGAGGAGGTCTAGCAGGATGAGCAAGTCTCTCGGAACATGTACAGGCGAAGGACGAGGGTGTGCCAAGGGCCCATGGCCTTTGCAGTCCCAGAACCCCGAAGGCGCTCACTAACTCCGTTTTCCCTTGCGGCCTCCACCCCAGACCCTCTGATTCTCTCCTTTGATGGAGGCCTGTTCTCATCTCCCCAGTTCCTCCGGTTCAGGTCCTGCCTCCAGTTAAACACTGGTCTGATTTCAGGAAGCCGGAGAAACCTGACTTGAGGAGTCTGTGGGCTGAGAAGTCCCAGACAGGACTCGCAGTCTGTCATGCACAGCAGGGGTGTGCTGCAGGGTACAGGGGGATGGCTCCACTCACCCGAGGCCCAGCTTCAGGCCTTGGTTAACCTCCTGGATGCAGGACATTGCCTATGACAATAGGAACCCAGGAAGCCCTGCTACCTGCTTCTACTCAGGCCACATGTGCCCTTACAGAGGCCTTGTTCCGTAACTGGCTCTGGAGTAATGAACTGCGTAACTGGACAGACGGATGACTAAGGAGGCTATTCTCTGTGACAAACGTGACTAACCACAGAGTCTACAGTCTTTGGAGGCAACATGGGCCCCGGGCAGGAGTGGATTGGCAGGTGATGGAAAAGTGAATACAGCTAAGGGAGCTACAGTGGAGTGAGGAGAGGTAGGCAGCATGTTACAAAGGAACAGTGTTACTGTCAAGACCCCAGGAGACAAGTGTGCTTCACTGAAAGATGCTAACACTGCGGAGAAAGAGCAGTCCCACTGCCTGGCCTGGCTGAGGAAGTTTGCAAACATGAATGGCAATTGGTAAAAAGGATCTTGTTGAGTGGGTTGCAGCTGATCAGGGTGATGGTGAGGTTGGGTGAATCCCGTTTAGTGAAGGGGATCTGACAGTGTCCATATTTTGGGTCTGATGAATGGATGCAAGCAAATGCTATTTTCCCTGTGAATCTCACTTTAATTTTGGAGATGAATTTCTCATCCAATTAATCTCTAATATTGAAATAGTAAATTTTTTTTCTAGAATTTTTTTTCAAGATAAACCACATTCAGGACAATAACCTTTATCTTATAGCTGGATAGTGGACCTAAGAGTTCCAAAGAGGGAGGGGATGGGTGTTTGGAGTCAGAGAGGATGAGATCCCAGAGACAGCCAAGAAGTTATTGGAGGCTCTTATAAATGTGGCCATTTCTTATTTTCCCTCTCTCCTCCCTCCCTCCCTCCCTCCTTCCTTCCCTCCCTCTCTCCTTCCTTCCTTCTTCAGAACGTGCTAAAGTGGATAATTCCTCATAATCTCCATTCTAAGGCCCTTCGTACATTCCTGGCCAGGTGCCAAGAGTTTTCTTGGGAGGAAAGGACCCTCATATGCCTATAACTCAAAAAATTCCTTCAACTCAAACTTCCTGTAGGCTTTTTTTTTTTTTAAAAAAAATGGGTTCTTTCTAGCTATATATAGCACTAGGACTTATTTTGAAATAACTATAAAACATGATGCAGTGTGTCCTGCTTCTCCAGGGAACAGCTGTTATCTAGGGAGAGAAAGAGTTAAAAGTGGAAAAGGCACAGTAGGCCAAGGGTAAGTCAGAGGGAGAAAGAAATCTGGCTGAGCAGGGCGCCACGGTTGGAAAACTGGAATACCCCCAAGGACTGTGACCCTGGATCCCAGGGATGTGGATATTTATTCTAAGGTCTCCAGGAGTAGTTTAGGGGAGGGGGGGTTCAGCTTGGCCAGCGTGGCTAGGGAGACCAGTGGAGCTGTGGGTAATCCTCATGGGTGTGGCGATGGTTTGTCCATAATGGGGAAGCTTGGCCGAGACTGACTGAGGGCTCAGAAATTGCAATCATACTGTAAGGTGTGTAGTCTTTTTCCAGTGTGTTTTGTCCTGACATTAAAGGTGTATTGCTCTCTGAAACAACATTTTAAAGAATGAGACAAATATTTCTTTAATTTCTTTTTGTGTAACATGAATTGTAATGCATTCTGCTGTCATATATAATGAATTAAAATAAAAAAATGTTTTTGGCGCATGTTAATTATTTGGGATGGTGGGGTCCATTGTGGCATGGTTTTGTGTCCATAAAACATAATTTTATCAACTTCACTTTGTAATACGTCCTCCACCCTGCCCTCTTCCCTTTCCCTGACCTCCTTCCCCTACCTATTAGTTTCCCTTCTTGTAAGGGACCGGCGAAACGTCAGAGGAAGAGACCACCAAGAGACTGCCTCATGCAACAGCAAAGGGTTTATTTGGGGACCAGCATGCTGGGGCTCAGAGCTCACTAGAGCAAAGAGAGATAGAGCCCTGAGACCAGCTTAAGCAGAGCTTATATACTTTCCTTGGAGAGGGCAGGGAGAGAAGTTACATTGACGGGTCAGGGCGAGTGGGCAGTTTGCCTGCAACCGAGTGAGGGAGTGCATCCTGCAGTTTGGCAGTTGGGGACAGCACATTCTGGGAACAAGATTAGCAAACAGTTCTCAGGATTTCAACAGTGTTTTGTTAAGCATACAGAAAAACGGAGTGACAAGTACCTATTTTATTAACCTTTCATTCTAATTTCATGGAATGACCTCCTCCCTAACTTTTTTCCTTCTAGCTTCCACATATGAAAAAAAAATGATACTTTTTTTTTCACTGAGTCTGACTTATTTTAGCTCAAAATTATGGTCTGCAGTTCCATCCATTTTCCTACAAATTACATGATTTTGTTCTTCTTCAGGGCTGAATAAAATCCCAGTGTGTGGAGACAAGGCATCTTCTTTGTCCGTTCATCTGTTGACAGACTCCTAGGCTGACCTACAGCTTGACAATCGTGAATTGTGCTGCAATAAACCTGGGTATGCATCTGTCTCTGAAATGTGCTGACTTGGGTGGTTTTTGGATGGATACCAAGGAGTGGTATAGCTGGATCACATGTTAGATCTATTTTTAGCTTTTTGAGGCTAGAATGGCAAGCATCAAGCACACAAATAACAAATTCTGGTGAGGAAGAAGGGACAAGGGACTTTGACAGGCTGTTGGTGGGGATCTGAGTTAGTACAGCTCCTGTGGAAACCAGGATGGAGGAACTAGTCTTTTAAATCACAAACATCAGTCGCAGGGGATCTGTGGTATTATTGCTTCATAACTGTTCAGGGTCTGGCCACCTGACATAGGAAGGCTGCAGGGTCCGCAGTCCCCTGTCGGTGATAACACTCATGGGAAGAAGACAGCGCTTGGGAGACAGGGTTCCCTGGGCTGAGGAGAGGGGAAGGGCGCGGGGCCAGAGGCCTGTTTGCACACTGTGTCTCACAGTATCTAGTATCTTTGCCTTTTGGCTCTTGTCTTTCTGGGTGCCCGCTAGTAAATGGGGCTTTTCCCTCTTCCACTGCTGAAGCCTCTGTCTCAAGCTGCAATACTTTGTGCGAGCTGGGCGTCTTCTTTGGGTTAGTTAATTAATGCCAGGGTCCATTCACCACCCAGGGACGAAAGGACAATGAAAAGATTGGATCATGATGCTTTGCTCTCTGTGTTGCACATATAATTGAGAAAAGTCTCCCATGGGCCCATTTTGAATGCTGAATTCCCAAGAGAAGAAACTTTGTCTCTCTGATTTCCTGCGGAATCTCTGGTATTCAGAACTGGGGTGTATAGCAGATGCTCAATAAAAATGTGTTGAATGAATACATGGATCCAGGGCTTAGGACTTTCTGCCACCCTCATGAGGTCTGGGGGGTTTAGTTTTTGTCCTCTGCCGGGACCTCCTCTTGGGCTCCATTTTTAAGAGGCTCTTGTTCCTCTCAGCTTGGTGTGTCAGCACTTGAAGAGTCAGGCTTCCCGGGTTGACGCTGCTCCCTTTTCTCTTCAATGAGATTAGACTGACCACAGCGGGAATTCTGCTCTTCTTCCTAGTGGTGGGGTGAGGCGCCTCTGAGCCTCTGAGCATGTTCTGCAGCCCCTATGGGGGGGTGTGGGGTTGGGGTGGGTTCTAATCCTCCGGTTCTGTCCAGCCTGTGGCGCAGTCTCTGGTGTGTCCTTGTCATTTGCACCCAGCTTGTGAAAGTTTGCAGGCTCTCTCAGGGTGCACAGCTGGCCCCTGGGAGCTGGCCCGCCCACCCGCTCCACGTGGGTCACGTGGTTCCTGTCCCCAGCTGGCTAAGTGCTCTCCAGGGATTGTAAACTGAATCTGGACTGAAGGCCAAACCTGTGGCTCCTCCCTCAGCAAACATTTTGCTTATTGGATCCAGTTGGTGCAGGTCTGATGTTCGGTCCCTCTCAGGGTCTCTCTGATTTTTGTTTGTTCTCTCCTGGTCTTTTTGATCCCCCAACTTATCAGAATCACTTTACAGTTGGGGGAATTCTTTCTTGATTTTTAGCCATAGAGCATTATCTATAGTTTTTTTCCTGCCTGCTCTACTCAGTCCCTAACATCAATTCCTCTTAACATTTGCAATTGAGCTGGGGCGGGAGCTGGGTGCCATCTCACTGGCTTTCTGGCAAAATGAGATGTTGGTCTGGGTTCACACGTAGAAGCATTTTTTTTTCAACCTCAAGAGAACCTGGATTTTATAATTTAAGCCGAAACATGCTACTGTCTAAGATTGTAGCACCTCAGTGTGTTGGTAGAGTTTCAAAATTAATAAATATTTGCTTAATTAATCAATAATTTGCTTCTTTAATTATATTTATTTACAGTTGCAGCAATAGTTCTCATTTTCTCTTTTCCTTTTTCTGAGAATTCTTATTTTTGTATACCCATCACTCCCAGCCATGTCTCTACCAATTAACCTGATTAATTTAAATAATTCCCTAAGCGTTCATCTCCCTGGATCTTCATAGAGTTAATTTAACCTTCCTCCGTGAGTCTTGCTGCATCTTTTCCCTTCCTCTGTCATTTTATTCTGCTCTTCGTCTGCCTAGTGTCTGTGTTCCCACCTCCTGATCCACTGCTTCTTAATTAAAACCCTAGAAATGCCTTATCCAGAAAGTTCCTATATCAGAGCCTGCAAATTAGGGTCTTTTCAGGTTTCAGAGGAAATGCAGTCTTTCCGCTCTGAGCTGCAGGGCCTCGAGCCTGCAATCCTTCTCTTCCTCTCATTCCAACCTGACTCTCTGCAGCCCTTCCATGATAGAGGAAGAAGATCAGCGATTTCCCCCCATGCACAGCTAATCATCTGCGCCAGAGCTGGGCTGTGTGGGCTAGGAACTGAGGGGAGGGACGGGTAAAATGACAAGTGACTTTGCAATGGTAATAGAAGAAGAACATTTATTTCTGGACAGAATCAGGGACAGCTGCTACCACTCCTCAGCAGGCGCTGGGGACTGTAGGACCCTGGACTTCAGGCAGAAAGACCTTCTGGGGAAGTTTGGACCCTGGACAGGAGCCCCCCGCCCAGCCTGTGGGAGCCAGGGCAGGGAGTCTGGGAAGGTGCGTCAGGACGGGGCTTCCGTGGGCTCTGGATCCTTGTTTCCTGAAATCCCTTGTCTCGGCATCAGGATCCAGGTCAGCAGCAGCCCCCAGAGCTGTGGCCACAGCCAGGGCCCCCAGACTGCTGACCACGGCCACCATCACAGGAGTCGGAGCTCTGGCGACGGCATCGGTGGGACCTGTGGTGGCTGTGGTGGCTCAGGAAGCAGCCGCCCTCGGAGGAGCTGGGGCCAGCGCAGCCCCCGGAGCTCGCAGCGCAGCCAGAGGCCGCAGGCGGACACTGTGCTGGGCTCTTGGGGGGGCACTTGGGTGAGGGGCACTTGGGAGGGGGCTGGCACTGCTGCTGGTTCTGCTGGAAGGACATCTCCACGGGAGTCAGCGAGCCTGCATGGACCAAAGACAAGGTCAGTATACAGCTCTGGCCACCCCTCCCCTGGGACCGGCTGTGTCAGCCTGGCCCTTCAGGCCCTCTGCCTCCTGGGCTGTGGCTGCAGGAAGGAACATGGAGAGCCATCTCCATCCTCTGACCTGGAGGACCTCCGTCCTTCCCCTCTGCCCTGCTTCCAGAGGAGAACGCTGGGACGCCCAGAGTCCCACCCCCTCTGTCCTCACAGAAACACCAGCACGTGCATTCATTGGCTGTGACTCCACAGAGTCCCTGTGGGCACACGTGGTCTCTCAAGAAGGACCAGAGCGGGGAGGAGCCGAGAGCCAGGACTCTAACTTCCCCCAGAGGTTCTGTGCTCTCTGACCCCTGACCTGTCCCCGAGGCCCTCCAAGGCCCGCCCTGTTCCTCCACCTCCCCTTCCCTCCTCTGCACTGGAGGCTGTGCTTGTCCCTACCCACCCCCCTCCTGGATGAGGATGGCCTCCTGCTGGACACTCACCAGAGGCAGCAGAGCAGGAGCAGGAGGAGGCTGAGCCTGGAGGAGCTGAGGATGGGGAGCCCAGGGCAGCAGCCCTTTTATCCAGTGCAGGGCGGTGATGCACAGCCTGAGCATGCTGCTGCTTTCACAACCCGGGGAGGTGACAACTGGGACATGGCCAAGTCCACCCACTCATCCTCTTCCCTCGGACTCACTCACTAGGATGCCTGGCAGGAGGGAGCCGGGGAGTTCTGATGACTGACCACCTCCACTCACTGGGGCCTGCAGGAGGTGGCCATTGGACCCCTTCCCAGCTTTCATTCAGCTCATGGTTCTCATCACAGACTCCGCCCCAGGGACTCTGCTGGAAGAAGCTACAAGGATCAAGATAGCACTTTTCTGACCTTGGGTAGCTCACAATCTGTCAGGAAAGAGAGATGGACATTGAAGACCTTCACATTTGTCAGTATGATCAAGTGTCAGGTGCAAGACGCTGAAGGGCAACCAACACAGTGTCTGCAGGCTTGGGGCCCCGTCGTTGGTGTGAGCTGTCCAACCTCCACGTAACCCCCACCCTGACACCTCCAGAGGAGCAGTTACTACCCTCTTGAGAGTCTTTGATGAGAGGGATGAGTGTAGAATGGAGAAATAGAGCTCTGTAGGTGGAGCAGGGCCCACTGAGAAGTCTCCTGTCACCCGAGGATCCGATCGTGGGGTTCCTAGGGAAGTAGTTAGTGGTGCTGACTTGGTGTTTGTCGTGTAGAACAAATAAAGCCAGCAAATCCGTGAAGTTTGTATCTCCTATGGAAGATGGAGGCTTTTCTGATTGGAGTTTACCAGTGATTATTGTGTATTTGCTACATTTTCAAAGAAAAATAGTTTAAAAATACCATTGAAGTTATTTTTTTTTCTATCAAATCATATTATTTTATTTTCAGACAGATCTATTCATGCTTATTCATAACTTGCTGTAACGGTGGATAAAAGGACAGAAGGATCATTTATAAGACATTCTAAATGCAGCGCGTCTACAGCATGTCCTGTTCTCCAGTGAGCATTAACCATGACCAGACGATCGTCTACTTGTGTTTAGAGGGGCTTAATTCCTTCCACCTTCCTTTCTCTCCTTCCTTCTCCCTCCCTCCGTCCCTCCGTCCCTCGGTCTCTCCCTTCTTCTCCCTTCCCAAGCCTTCCCTGAACACACAGACGTGGTCATTCCTCTTCACAGACGTGGACTAATGGCTCGCTCTGGGTGGGAGGAGATGGTGGCTCACGGTGGTCGGTGGGGAGGGCTGGGGAGCCCTTCAGCTCCCTTCAGACTCCGCACCGTTTCACTCACATTCGTGCTCCCCCCCCCCCAGTGGACGCTGTTCGGGAGAAGGCGCTCCTGAGGAGGGACAGTGGGAGGCCTCTCTGCCCGCTACGCGGTAAGGCTGAAGGCAGGTGCAGAATGAGGGAAGACACGGCCCCCACCCACGGGCTTTGCCACCGGGGCCAGGCCTGGGAGGGCGCTGCACTGCGTGATGGCACAGCTTGGTGCACTAGTCACGCCCAGGGAAGCCAGCATCACATGTAAAACCCACCCGGCCTCTGGTCTGAGATCCTGGTAGGAGAACCCACTCGCGGCCTGACTTCCACAGGGCCAGCATTGGGCCCCAGGCCTTGTTGTGGACCGAAAGCTCGTCTCTTTCTTCATGTGTGAAATCTTGACCCCCAATATTAGGAGGTTGGGACTTTGGGGAGTGATTGAGCCATCAGGGCGGGTCCTTCATGTAAGGAGATTAGCGCCCTCAAAAAAGAGACCCCAGAGATCTTTCTAGTCTTCTTTCTGTGTATAAGTTATCAGAACTAGGGCCTAGGAGCGGGTGCTCACTAGAAACTGACTAGGTTAGCACCTGATCGCAAGGCTTCCAGCCTCCAGAAATGTAAGAAACTTTTGTGTTTTTTTGTTTTCATGCTGCCTAGTTTATGGTGTTTTGTTACAGCAACCTGAACAATCTAAGCAAGTGCAGGTTTCCAGCTGTCACCCTTACCCTTCCTCCTGGAACTTCCTCTCATTCAAGCCATCCGTTTCTGCATGTCTGAATTCAGCACGGTTTTGTGGAGCCTGATCCAAGGCCAGGCACCGTGGACACAACTGGGAATACACAGGGCACTAGGGAGAGTTTATGGCCTACCCCGGAGGACGAGAGAGGAAGGACACCATTCCCAGGGTGGCGCTCCCATTTCTGTGGACCTTGTCTAGACCAGTCTGGGGCTTGAGACGCCCTGAAGAAGTGGGTCTTTATTTTACATGTATCCCGATGCTCCAGAAGTAAGGACAGGGGCCTTTTTGATTAAACAGATGAAGTTTTGAGTCAGCCGTGGACAGTGGTTGGAAAGTAACTGATCCCACTTTGTCAAGTTCCAAGTCAGAGTGTTCAGAAGCGAGCAGTGAGCAAGCAGTCCTCTCTGCTCCTCGGGAAACGCAGGCCTCCTCTCTCCTCCTCTGCCTGCTGCACACCCTCGTCTCTCATCTCTGATCCTGGAGAAGGAGCTCTTCCCTGGACAAGGAGGGAGTACCAGGGCAGCGCTGCAGGGTCACCCTGCCTGAGTCTCATCCCAGGGAGAATAGGCGTCCCACCATCCTGGGTGGCGGAGGAAACTTGGCGGCCCGTCTGGACTCACGATCTTAGCGGGACTTGTTGACTCATCAGTGAACTGGCATTATGCAGGTAGGCGTGTGGCTTTTCAGGCTAACTTCCTTGGGTGCAGTTTGATTCAGTGACATAACTCATACGTCAGTGATGAATCGCCCTTTCCAACTGATCCGCGCGGATGGCCAAGTCAAGACTTTCTTGTCACCCAACAAGGTTGACTTGGTGACACCTAACTGAATCATAGGTAAGATGGGAGGCGAGAATGGAGAATACTACCATCTTTTAAACGTGTACAATTTAGTCATTTTTAATAGATTCTAAACACCATCAGCACTAATTTCAGACACTTTGATGACTCTTGGAGGGGAAGGCTGTACCCTCATCCCCACTCTCTGCTCCCCATTGTATCCCTGGAAATCACTAGTCTGCTTTTTGCTTCCTGGACTTGCTTATTTTGTGCACTTTATATAAATGGAATGACACAATATATAGTCTTCTGTTTGGGTTTCTTTCACTTGGCATATTTTTTTCAAGGTTGATTCATGCTGTGGTGTGTGTCCATATTTCATTCCTTCTCATGGCCGAATAGTGAACATTTGGAATAAAGATCTAAGGAGTGCTGATGGAGTACACAGACAAATATACAGTATAGGGTAAATGTACTTTGCATTTGTCTCCGCGTGATTTAAAAGACCATTGCATGAAGCAATACTTCCAAAGTTGTGCTACGGCCTTCCAATGAAGAAAGATGTGGACGATGTGACCCTAACAGCCCTCAGAGGAGGAGGGAATTGAGTGACTTAATAGTCCAATTTGGGGATATTATGAAGAGTGTAGCTATGAACTTAATCTTTATTGTTTCCTTCCTTTTCTTGGGTTGTATTTTCTCTTCTTTTTCCAGTCCTAAGGTAAGAGTTTAGGTTATTGATTTGAGATTTTTTCTTGCTTAATACGGGACCTTACAGCGGTTTCTCTCTGAGCACTCCTTTGGTTGTTTCCCATAAGTCTTACATATTGTGTTTTCATTTTCATTCGCCTCAAAGTATCCTTAAAATTCCTCTGTGAAGGAGACAGTGGACCCACCAGGTAGAGGGGAAGGTGGGGAGTGGGTGACAGACTGACCGTGCGTCCTTCCCACGCTGACCTTTAGGAGATGGTTGGGCTATGCTGGACCAGGGGTGGGGGGCAGGAATTGAGTATATCTGGGGGATATACTTCTAGACACTAGGGGAGAATCACTGAATCTCTGAAAATGGTTAGAAAGTTCTGGAATACACTCGAGATATCATCAAAGGAGTGCTTGTGTAGCACAGGAGAACACAGAGAGGGGCAAAAGAAATCGTACCCACCGAGTTCTGACCGCCTAATACACTTGTTAAAAGGCTCTTACAAGATTTTTGTAGCACGGATCTTTCTTGGTTCCTTCTCTCTTCCCACTCTCAGTCAGTAAATAGATCATTTATTTATTTATAATACATTTTATGAGTTGTGTGACATTTCCCAAACAGCTTTCAGGAAAACATTCCTTCTTGGCATTAATGACTGCTCCGTAAACTCAGGCCTTTGGGGTAAGGGAGGTGAAAGGCTTCCGATGTTGACGCCAACAAACATTGTGTCTGGAAGACTCCACAGGACCTCACAGCCCTCTCTGGAGGCCGTAGGGGGACCTGTCAGCTGAGCTCTTTCTTGTGTTCACTGTTGAGCAGGGCTCAACCCTCAGGGAGGGGCAGGCAGAGAGAGCTGAAGAAATCGAGCTACTGCAGAAAGCCACAGCCAGCTACAAAGGAGAGCTAGGAGCTGGGGCCTGGGCAGCTCATTGGAACCTTCTGGGAAAGTTTCTAAGAACTGCTGAATTCTGAGTTCCTCCCGCAAAGACTGACTTGGTCTGGAGTGCAGCCAGGGAGTTTTAGTGTGTTTCTGGGTGATTTTAACGGACAGCCAGGTTTGAGAGATCAGATCACATGAGGTGGCAGAGGGAGAATTGGAGGCTGCAGATGGGATTGCCTGGGTTTGTAGTCCCCTCACCCACAGGAAACCCCCCACAGTTCCTTAGCCGGCAGTAACCAGTCTCTGGACAGGGACCAGCTGCCTTCTCTAGTCTCAGCCCTTGCCGTGTTCTCCTAAACTCTCTGACTCTTCACGGAGGGCCCAGGACTTTGCTTGTGCCTAGGCAGGAGTGCACCTTATCGACTGATGCCCAGTACTTACAGGATTGGCGGAGCACCTTGGGAAAAGACGCAGTGTCCCAGGGATGCTGGCCCCAGAGCGTGGACAGGGCTTTGCCTGAGGTCCCTGTCTTTCCTACACAGACTGCAGTGGGGGGCAGGGAGGGGAAGGGGGGAGAGCAGGGCTCTCTATGAGAAGGGATCGAGGAGGGCCCCGACTGTGCAGACGCCCTTCCTTCACCCCGCCGTCGCTTGGTGCCTTCCGTCTTGCCTCTCCTTTCTTCTTAAACTCCTTCCTCCTTCTTATTCTCTATTATTCCTTCAAAACCTAGTATCAGTGCAGACCAGGCCGCGTCGCAGACACAGAGTCCCCGAGGTGGCAGGTGTGAGTGTGAGTGGTCTTGACTCGGTGGCTCCCCGCCTGCTGGGGCAGACAGACGGGGGTCCCGTGTCCGTGACCCGAGGTGATAAGAGCTGTAATGGAGACGGGGGGAGTCCTCAGGCGTGGGCCAGGCTTTGGGGTATCGGTCTTTGTCGCCCAGTGTGTTGGGAGGTTGTCATGGGTATCGCTGGGGAGTGGCTGAGGTGAGGTCCGTGGCATCGGAGCTGAGATGGCATGCAGCAGGGACACGGGGTGAGGAGCCCCACCTCTCCAAGGTCAGCTGGTCCTGGGAGCTCCCGAAGCCCAGGGCAGCCGTGTCCTGGAAAGGGGTGGTGGCAGAGAGAGCCGGTGTCTGAGGGCAGGATGGGGTGGATCAAGGGTCCGGAATGTTCTCTAAGCGTACTGGCTGGGGATCAGATGCTCCTCCCTTGGTTTCCTTCTTCCTTCAGGTGATGGCTGTCCTAGGGTGGAAGAGTTGGGGGAGATGAAGAAGCACAAGGAGCCATCGGTCTTAAAGTGGAAATGTGACTTGGGTGGGATGAGAGACCTGTCCGTCGGTCGGTTGCTCTAAGTTTCAGGAGTAGGTCGGAGGTGGGGATGACCCATCTAGGCTGGAGAGGCCAGGAGAACTGAGCTGAAAGGTGAACTGTCCTTACTAGAAGGTGAATCATCGTGCACAGACCTGGGAGTGCCACTGTGTACAAGTGACGCAGTGCCCTGGGGTGATGGGCTAATGTTGTGGAACTGCATTCAAGGTGACATGGAGGATTCTCCTGTTGTATTTTACTGTAGAGCAGAGAAGCATTTCTTCTAAGGCACAATCAACCTAAGACTGGGACAAATCTCTCATATGACACATGCAATTAAAACGTGGTTGTGATCAATTTATTATTACACTAAATGCATCGATTTATCCTGCTCTGGGGTCCTACACTCTGGCCCCCGTGTTGAGGTAGGGAGCTGACGGCCTTCCTGGTACAGGTGTGACCCCACCCACGCACACACTGGGACTTGGAGGAAGAGGAAGGGCATGCACCATCATCCTCTGTCACCCTTGTGTCCCCCCATTGCTGCCTTAGGATGAAAGCAAGATGTCATCACAGGAGCCTTTGCCACCAGCAAAGCCACTCAATTTTGTTCCAGGCGAGGGTCCTTCGCTGTGTTTCTCAAACTTGCATTTCTGTCTCCAATTTCCACTAGGAAATCCACTAGAAGTAGGGATGAACGTACCCTACTCTACTAGCAAAGGTCACCATACTTGGCAGTGGTTTTTGAATGAATGAATTATTAATTGTTGGGTCCTGGACTGGGCGGAGGTGGTTTCCTGATGGGAACCGGGTTGTCTCCTCACTCACTGAGCTCTCTCACCTTTCGAGGCCCACAGAGCAGTGTGAAAGGCACGACTCATGGCTGTCTTGGATTGTCCTGGTGTTGCAGATCCCAACTTTATTACTTGGTCTGACTCCTGTTTCTTCTCCCTTCCTAGTGGACCCCCGACTGCAAAAATCACACTTTGGCCTTGAGAGCGTAGACTTGGCAGGTGCTTCTGAACCTTCAGCCTTCGTTCTGTGATCCTCGGTGGATGACAGGTTTTACTTCCTCCAAGGCTGAGTTCTTCCTCTTGGAGCTAATGCACAGTCAGCAGCATAGTCCATGAGTTCCAGCCACTCTTCACAAACTGACCCTCAATTCTGGACTAGTGAAGTCTCTCTGTCAAGATCGGTGGGATTCGTGACTCTCGGGTCATCTGGCAAGACCCCACACATGGCGGCAAGTCCAACCTCTCCGCCAACCTCACCCAGCCTGGACGTTTTTTGAGGTACATTTTCAACATTACTTGACCCAATTTCTGTCCGTGGTGGAGTGCTACCCAGGAATTTCTCAAGTTTCAAGTGAGAGGCAGCTTGTGGTAATGAATTTAAGCTTGGCAGCTGTGGTTTCCAACTCAGGGGATTACGCTGACCGGACAGTGGGTCAGAGTGTTATATCTCTTACACTCCAAATACTTTGGAAGTTCTGAGTCTTTGGATGTTGTAGTGAAAATGGTTGGACATTTTCCAAAGACTTAAGGAACTTTTCTGATTTTGGATTCAACAAACCCTAAAAGTGCTCCATAGATTTATTTTTTTCACGTGGTATACCAGCCTCGTATCAATTTCTCCCTCAGCTTCAGTGTTGGAATCTAATTCAGTTCTAGACATTCCTTGGGCTTGTTCTGCCTGCCTTCGATGAACTACTCCTTAATTCCAGTGTCTCAACCCCTGGCAGGTGGAGTGGATGAGGCTCACCCCTAAGGAGATGATTTCAGCCTAGGAGGCATTCAAGTTTCACATTTTACTTCCCAAATATGGGGACAAAAATAACTTTTTAAAAAGTTTTACTGAAGTCATGACTCATGTGTTGAGCTCTTAGTTCTGCAGATTAAAAAAATCAAATAAAAACGAGTAAACCACAAAAGTTCAACAGCCAAAATAAATGTTAAGTGGAAAGACCCAACGGTTTTAACGATGTCTTGAAAAGTTCAAGGGAAGGGGAATGGCAAGTGGCCCAGAGCCTGGATTACTGGAATGGGACCTGGGTCCTGGTATAAAATTATTAGAATCTACAATTTCCCCACTAGTAAAAGGTAGTTATTAAGAGAACAGATTGCTTACAGAGAATTAAATGAGTTCATTATAGTCTCTCGGGGATTCCTAGCACATGATAAGCACTAACAGTTTTTGATCATGCAACAGTTGAAAGTGAATGGAAGCTCTGTATAAGAGCCCGGGAAGTTCACTATGGGATGTGTTTTCGTAGAATACGTCACTCCTTTCTGGAGGCTTTAGTCCATCCTCCTCTCCCCTGCTGCACGTAGATGCAGCACATAAGGCCTGGCAGGTCCCCAGTTCTCCCTGTTTTTATTGGTGCATCACAGTCGTACACAACAATGGGGTTCACTCGGCCGTTTCATACCTGCATATAATCTGCTCCATTCCAGTCTCCAGTACTTCCCCCTTTCTTCCCCCTCCTCCCTCTCCCTCTCCCTGGTCCCCTTCTGGAACTCTTTTGATCTTTTATTAGTTTATCATTTTTATTGGTGTATTATAGAGAAACATAAAAATGGGATTTACTGTGAGATGTTCACACACGCACAGAGCATATTTGGTCAATTTCATCCTGTCGTTCCTCCCCTGTCCCATCTCTCCTCCCTCCCCCTCGACCCCTTCTGCTACTTTACTGTTCTCTATTCTATTTTCATGGGACCCCCCGTCCCCCAGCCCCCTTTAAAATTCCCTGTTCTCTCCAGCCTCTGCCTAGGAGAGAGAACATAGACCCTCGACTTTCCCCGTCCGGCTCCTTCCACTTAGCTTGATGTCCTCACGTCTCATCCATGTGCCGGCAAATGACATGACTTTATTTTATGAACAGTCTGGAGCGATGGCCCTGCACCCCCTGGGGGAAGTTCTGGATTCGAGGGGCAGAGGGGAGGGCACACGCCAGCCACCTGGGGGAGGCGCAGTGAGGGACAGTGAGCCATCAGTGGTGATGGGGAGCAGGAGCTTTATTTTTGGACAGGGTCAGGTACAGGGAAGAGTGCAGAGCATTAGAGTACCCAGCAGGGGAAGGGTGGGGGACTGTGGGACCCTGGACTTCAGGCAGAAAGACCTTCTGGGGAAGTTTGGACCCTGGATAGGAGCCCCCCGCCCAGCCTGTGGGAGCCAGGGCAGGGTGTCTGGGAAGGTGCGTCAGGACGGGGCTTCCGTGGGCTCTGGATTCTTGTTTCCTCTGAAATCCCTTGTCTCGGCATCAGGATCCAGGTCAGCAGCAGCCCCCAGGGCTGTGGCCACAGCCAGGGCCCCCATGCTGACCACGGCCACCATCGCAGGAGTCGGAGCTCTGGCGGCGGCACCGGTGGGACCTGTGGTGCCTGTGGTGGCTCAGGAAGCAGCCGCCCTCAGAGCTGGGGCCAGCACAGCCCCCGGAGCTCGCAGCGCAGCCAGAGGCCGCAGGCAGGCACTGTGCTGGGCTCTTGGGTGAGGGGCACTTGGGTGAGGGGCACTTGGGAGGGGGCTGGCACTGCTGCTGGTTCTGCTGGAAGGACATCTCCACGGGAGTCAGCGAGCCTGCATGGACCAAAGACAAGGTCAGTATACAGCTCTGGGCCACCCCTCCTGGAAGGCCAGCTGCCTCCCAGCCAGGAGCAGCAGGAGGGCGAGGGACGCTGCTGTGACCGCGGCTGGTTGGGTCACAGCAGTCGCCTCAGACTTTACTCTCCACCCAGGACGTGGAGAGTAAATCAGGTGCTGTCAATCTAACTGGACACCCAAGTTTCCATATCTCCAAAGAACCCTGGTGGATGGCGTCTCTTTACAGGGAAAAGCATTCTGGAGGACGGATGTCACAGGAAACATAAGAGACTTGAGCAGAAACGGGGTGGGAGGGAAGCGGAGTTCCCGTGGCCTCTCAGGTCACAGAATTCTTGCCATGTCCCACGGGGGCTCGTTCCTGATCTCCTTCTTCTCACTTCTGCCCCCTCAGTACTCTTCTGTTTTAGACCTCACCATGTTCCTTCCCCTTTCTGTGACCTTGACCTTCCAACACCTCCAGTTGGGCCCACTCCCTGCTGGGCACTCACCTGGTGCAGAGGATGCAGGAGGAGGCTGTGGCTGTGGAGGCTGTGGATGGGGATCCCAGGGCAGCAGCCCTTTTATCCTACACACGGTTTGTGATGCGTCACCTGAGCTGCTGCTTTCACAACTAGGGGAGGTGACAGCTGGGCACATGCCCAGGACGAGGTTTCCAGCCTCTTCCTGGAACCTCCAGGAAGCGGGACTGTCCCAACACCTCCCATGGGCTTACCCAAGGGCCTGCCCCTTCCCCCTCACTCCGTCTCTTCTCTCCTTCCTTCCTTCTCTTTCTTTGTAATGCTCTTTATTGGTGCACTTTGGTTGTCCACAATAGTGAGTTCCTTGTGACACATTCATCCATGCACGTGACATAATCTGTGGGACATTCCCCAGTTCCTCCCTCTCCCTTCCCTCTTCCCTCCTCTAATCCCCTTCCTGTGCCCTACAGATCTCCCTTCTATTGTCATTTTTAAATTCCAAGCGATAAGTTTTGTAATATAATGTGCACAAAGTCTCCAGGCTAACCAATGGCCGTGGCCTCCAGGTGCCGTCCACGGTGGCCTGCGAGCTCCTGGCAGTGGGGAAGCCGCGGGCAATGTGTGGGCGTGTTTGGTGGAAGCCCCTCATGCCATCCAGGACGCAGCCTGATTTTCTGATCACCAAGGGGCAGAGTCCACTTAGCGTTCGGTGGACAAATAAGTGGATTATTCAGAGCTAAAAAACCTTCTGTTTGATTTTAGTAAATCCATGTAATCTAAAATCTATTTGCCTATCTGAATAATTGCCACATCATGCTGTGGTCAAAGAAAAAATATAATTAAGGCTGTAATTAAACTTTAATTAAACTTTAAATTAAACTTTAATTCACCTGTCATTTAAATACCTTTTATTATTAAAATAATATCCTACCCTGGGTTTATATTTTCTTGTGGATAAAAACGTTGATGGCTTAGTGTTACTTGGTGAAAAGCAGGTAATAAGCAGTGGACACAACTGGTTACATTTTTACACTATCAATACTATTTTATATGATGTTTTGAGTGAAATATTTTTATAGCAAATGTCCTTTATTTTTTATGACATTAAAACCTAGCGAACTAGCTTCCTACCTTCAGACACTTGTGTTTTCTCACTCCATCCGAGGACTCTCCCACTCTGAAACCGAGAGATCCTATGAGTTATCTCTCGACCCCACGGGGAAGGACTTGCAGTGACCTTAGGACGCAGCTCAGGGGGAGGGGTGGGGAGCACAGCGGGGGAGGGGATTTGCACCCTGACATTGTCCTGATCCCTTGGGGCCCTGTGTGCAGCCTCAGCCTCCGGTTGGTTTGTCAACCCTTTCCCTCATGTTGGAAGAGCCCGTAAATAGGTTCTTGATTGGAAAGGACAAACTGTGAGTCAGGAAGATGGACACCATTTTCCATGCAGACTTATGATGAGGGTGAACAGGGAGAGAAGAGTGGAAATGCCTCTCTTTTTCCTGGTCAGCTTCGTTGGGCAGGGCAAGGCTTGGACAATGCCTTATGGATGGGGTGAGTCTCCCGGTTTACCCAGAGGGTCCTAGTTTACAACTTGTGTCCCACCGTGGTTACCCAAAGGCATTTTGGTGTCGATGGTCACCAGGAGGCAGAGACCAGCCTAATGGAGGTGCTGCTGCCAGGACTCAGGTTTCCTCAAGAAAGTCTTGTCTAGCCTCCGGGAATGGGCAGGATGGGGATATCACCCATTTCCTTTCTCCCACAGACCAGACCCTACGCTTGGCTGTCATCCACCTGTTCTCCTGAATTTCTTCTCGCTCAGTCAATCACCCTTCACTAACACCGAGTGTCACCTGTGGGTCAGCCACCGTGCTCAGCCGCAGGAACGCAGGTGTGGAGGAAGGAGGTACCACCAGCCTGCACAAGGGTGACGGCAACCAGCCAACAGGGGACACAGCAAGTAACGAATTGCCACTGTGGTGTGCGTGCAGTACAAATGACAGGTTCTGTGGAGGAAGAACGAAGCTGACCTCATCGGGTCAATCTGCTGAAATGGACGGCATTTCTAATACTGCTCAAGAGAAGCAAATACAAAGACTCCTTTTGGTTTAAACAGGCACAGTCTTGAGTCAACAGGCAACAATATCTGGAGAGCAAGGCCAATCTCCATGGTGGGTCAGCTCCCCAGTTTCTGGGTGACTCAGGAGAGGAGAAGGGTGGACGTGGAGGCTGTGAGCTGGGGCAGGAGAGGCAGTGCTGGATGGACTGTGACTCACCAGAGCTGTCCGTCTGGCTTCTGTGACACGGAACACATCCCTTTGTAGATTCTAAAGCATCACATGGAACTGGCTTGTGACTGCTCGAATGGTTGGTCCTTTCAGCGATGGTGACTTGGACAAGGGTACTGATGGTGATCTCATCTTGGACTCAGAGGCTGAGGAAATCAATTCGTAGCCAGATCACACATTATAAAGATATGCATGATTTGTAAAATCAAACCCATTTTTGTAACTGTAGAAAAATTCAGACAGGAAAGCGATTCTAAGGAGACAAACTGCGCTCATATCGAATAAAGGGAGACTACAAGTATGGAATCATCTTAACAAAAGCAGAAGAAAGCATTTGACAAAATCCAGTACAATTCATGATAAAAACTCTTAGAAAAAAGGAATAGAAGGCAAACATCCTCAATGTGATAAAGACATGAACAACAACAACAAGTTAATCTTGTACTTAAATAGTGAGAGAAAGATGCTTTTCCCAAAGAAGAGGTGAATCTATGACATACAGAGTCCAAAACTAGATCCAGAATAGATGATTAAGTTATTTTAAGCAAAGGCAATAGTCATTTCTAAAATGGTACTGAAACACTTGGGCATCCATATGCTTAAAAAGGTCTTGCCTATTACTATATAAAGATCAGCTCAAGGTGGAGTTATATGTAAATTAACTCAATAACAGACCAAATGTGAAACACAAAACACCCAACTTCTAGTGTAAACATAAGAGAAAATATTTTCATAACTTTGGTTATGTAAAAAATCTTCAGCTATGACAAAGGCATATTTCAAAAAGAGAATATTAGACTTCATCAAAATTTAAAAATTCTGCTTTTCAAAAGACACTTAAGAAAATGCAAATGAAACTTACAGACTTATAGAAAATATTTTAAAAACACGTATGTGATATTTACTTATGGTTTGATTTGAAAGATCAGCAGGGAAAAGGGAATGGGGGAGAGGGATGGGGAGGCAATGGGAAAGTAGTGGGGACTGAATGAGAACAAATCATATTCTGCGCTTTTACAATTGTTGGGTGCCCACTGCTCAGAAAACACTCTGAGTACGAATTTTGTCCAAACTGGAGGTATTTATTTAGCTGGCCTGCGGCTGCCCCTTAGCAAGACGCTGTTCAGGGTGCAGTGTCCACCTTCCTGTATACACAAACACCACTTCCCCCATGCGTAGGGATCTGCAATCCCACAGAACAGGCAAGCTCTGTTACAAAGCAAGTTCAGTTACAGAAGCTAAAATGAGCAATTAGGTGAACCTCTACAGGGTTGTCAGTGTCTATAGCAAGCATTGCGGACTTTTTGTTAGGGGTGGGGTGACATTTGTGGTTGGGCAGGGGTTGCAGCAATTAAGTTTCTTAATTATGTTAAGATGGTTTCTTTTTAAAATGGAGTTACTTAGGCTAAGTTCTTTAACTTATAACCAGAATAACTTAATATTACTTATCCTAAAATTATAGGATATATTTACTGATATCCTATAATTTATAGGGTGCTTACTAAGCTAGGCCATAATAATAATTATGTTAAAATGAACCCTACAGTCATGTATAACTAAAAAGAGCCAATTAAAAACACATATGTAATTAAGAAATTCTATCCAGAATATTAAAAATGTCCCAAAATCAGTAATAAGAAAATAGACAATCTGATGTAAAAATGGACAAAATATTTGGACGTAAGTAAGACATTTCATGTGCTTACTTAAGTCCCATGGACGATAAGTAAGCATGTGAAAAGACACTCATCATTAATCATTAGGGAAATGCAAATTAAAAACAAAATGAGATTCCATTCCACAGACCTTGGAATGGCTAAAATAAAAAACTATAACTGCCAATACCAAGTACCATCAAGGATGTGGAGCAACTAGAATTCTCACTCTTTGCTGGTGGGAACGCAAAATCATAACAGCCACTTTGGAAAATAGATTAGTTGTTTCTTTAAAAACCTTAAACATCCATTTACTATTTTTCCTTGAAATCTTATTCTTAAATAATTACCCAAGAGAAATAAAATTTATATTCCCATAAAAACCGAGGCCAGAATTTGTGGTGATTTTACTTATAACTGCTCCAAACTCAGAACAACCCAATGGCCTTCCCTGCTGAATGGCTAACACAAGACAAAACGTGGTGTGTGTATACAATAGAAGGCCTTAGCAGTAAAACAGGAGGAACTTCTGATGCACAGAACGAGAGGAATGAATCTCAAGTGCATCATATGTACAGTGTGAAAGAAGCCAGACTTTACACCATATTATACGATCCCAATTGCGTGACTTTCTGGAAAAGGCAAAGTTGTAAAAATGAAAGTAGGTCAGTAATCGCCCAAGGCTGATAGAGTGGAGAGACTCTCTGAAGGCACATGAGGGACTATTTTGGGATGATACGACTGTTGTATCCAAACTGAAACTGTGTTCACATGTAATGGTGTTTGTTGGGACTTAAATGTTTTTGTTTTTGCTTTTTTTTTTTGGCTTGTATAGTAATACCTCAGGAAATCCGCTTAAAATAGAAACATAAAAATCAAAAAAACTTTTTTTAGGAATAAAAAATGATAAAACATGAAAAAAATGAAATAAAAGAATGATAAATACAAGATTTAGGATCATGGTTATCTCAGATGGGACAGGTCAGGTGTAAGGTACATATAACTTACTATCAAATTCCGGTTTTCACTTAGGTGGTTCCTGCGTGTGTGTGTGTGTGTGTGTGTGTGTGTGTGTGTGTGTGTGTGTGTGTGTGGTGTGTTTTATTTAAAAAATGGGCAAGTAGTTACGCCGGTAGATCTATTAATTAAGAAGAT